ATATTATATATATACTTATTATTACTACTAATTAAGATGCCTAGACACTGCAAACCCTAAACCCTAAACCCTAAACCCTAATATTGTCAAATAAGCTCGGAAAGACTTCATTCAAACAACAACAGGAACAGCAACAGCAACAGCAGCAGCAGCAGCACAACTCTGCTGCTGCTGCTGCTGCTGCTGCTGCTGTGCATTGCGTTTGTTAGTTTGTCGGTCCTTAAAAAAGATCCATAAAGGATAAATAGCAACAACAACTCCCCCTCTACCAACCTACCTAGCTAGCTAGCTAGCTAGGTAGGTAGGCAGCTAGCTAGCTAGCTAGCTAGCTACTACTTACCTACCCTCACCCACCCAGCTAGCTAGCTAGCTAGCTAGCTAGCTAGCTATCTAGTAAGGAAAAAAAAAAGAAGAAATAAAAAAGATAGAAGAAATAAATAATAGATAAAAAAGAAAAAGAAAAAAGAAAAATAAATAAATAAATTTATTTATTTATTTATTTATTTATTATTGGTTGCTCCTTGTTTATTTTGTATAATATTATCTTGTATATGTATAGGTACAGGAGAATATCTAAGAAAGTTCATGTTATATGTTCCTTTTCCTTGTGTTAATGTTCTTAGTTTTGTTGTAAATTCTCTTAATTCTGCTAATGGTACATTTGCTATTATACATTTTATTCCTCCTCTTCCTCCTCCTCTTCCTCCTCCTTCTCCTATTCCTATTCCTATTCCTTCTTCTTCTTCTCTTCCTCCTCCTCCTCCTGATCCTATTGATGGGTTATAACCCTGGTGTTGCTGCTGTTGCTGCTGTTGTTGTATATTATTAGTATTATTATTATTATTATTAGCAGCAGCAGCAGCAGCAGCAGCAGCAGCAGCAGCAGCAGGATAATAATGATCATCAATAGATTGTATGATTGCCCTCTTGGATGCAAGAAAGGAGACAACATCCCCTAGATAAATAAGAGGAATAAATACATGAATAAGCATAATAGGCTCTAGTAGATAAGGATCAGCAGCAGCAACAGCAGCACGAATAGCAGCAGCAGCAGCAAGCTCATATGCTAACTCTGTACTATCTACAGGATGATAAGAACCATCAATAATATCTATTTGTATATCTATAAGAGGATAATTAGCAAGAAAACCTTTATTTAATTGTTTTTTTATCCCTTTTATTATACTAGGTATATATATATTAGGTATATTTCCTCCTTTTATCTTATTTATTATTTTTATTCCTTTTCCTATAGATAAAGGTATTATATTTATATATATATCTGCATATTGTCCTCTTCCTCCTGTTTGTTTAATATATTTACCTCTTCCTTCTCCTTTTTTTCTTATTGTCTCCTTATATATTATATTAGGTAATCCTTTTCTTATTAATAAATTATTTTCTCTTATTATTCTATCTATTATTATATCTAGATGTAATTCCCCCATACCTTTTATGATTATTTCTTTTGTATTGGGGTGTATATACACCTGAATAGATGGATCCTCTCTTGCATATTTATATAATATATTTATTAATTTTTCTTCTTCTTCCTTATTTATTGCCTCTATACTTATACACAAGGAAGGAATAGGTATATTTATATTATTTAATATATATATATTATCTATATTACATAGTGTATCTCCTGTTCTTATTTCTTTATTATTTATACCTATTATTTTTTTTTTTCCTCCTTTTTCTTCCTCTTTTATGCCTATTAATGCACCTATTTCTCCTGCTTTTATCTCTTTCTTATCATAACGATTATTGCAGTGTATAGACACTATACGTATTACTTTTTCTCTCTTATTTGTCCTACTATTTACTATTATATCCCCTATTCTTATTCTTCCTTTATATACACGAATAAATATTTCCTTACCTAAATAATTATCATTATTTATCTTGAATACTAATGCAGCAAGAGGTCCATCTATAGATGTATTTAATAATACTTTCTTCTTTATATACCTACTACTGCTGCTGCTGCTGCTGCTGCTGCTGCTGCTGCTGCTGTTGCTATAGTCGTCTTCCTCCTCCGTGCTGCTGCTTGCTGCTGTTGCTGCTGTTGTGCCATCTATATCATCATATGTATCATTTATTATTGTTACATCTCCTTCTTCTTCTTCTTCTTCCTCCTCCTCCTCCTCCTCCTCTTCCTTACTACTACTACTACTACTGCTGCTGCTGCTGCTGCTGCTGTTGCTGCTGCTGCTGCTATTTTTATTATTCTTCTGTTTATTATTATTATTATGATTATTATTATTATTATTATAAGATTTAGGTATTAATTGTATAGCTTGTATAGGTGGTATATCTAGAGGAGAAGGAAGAAAATAAATAATTGAATCTAATAAAGGTTGTATACCCTTATTTCTTAGGGAACTACCACATAATACAGGTACTATATTATTATTATTATTATTATTATTATTTATATTATTATTATTATTATTTATATTATTATTATGATTAATTAGATGTCTTATACCTATTATAATTTCTTTAGGTGTTAATGTACCATTATCTAGATATTTATTTAATAAATCTTCTCTTGCCTCTGCTGCTCTTGTTATTAATTCCCCCCTATAATGATTAACAATTTCTTGCATATATTCAGGTATAGATGTATAATAATAATCTATATTTTTTATTTTTTTCTTAGGATCTATAATAGTATTTATATTAAGAATATTGGGATCGACGATCCCAGTATTGGGATCGACGATCCCAGTATTGGGATCGACGATCCCAGCATTAGGATCGACGATCCCAGGAATAATAACACGATTAGGATCGATCCCTTGATGAATAGTACTGGGATCGTTAAGGGGATCGTGTATAATATTATCTATTGATGAGGGGGAAGGAGGAGTACCCCACAATATAGATTTATTATGTATTAGATCTATAACACCATAGAAAGAAAGATCATCTTGTATAGGTAATTGTATAGGTATAGTATATACATTAAATTTATTATTAATTTGTTGCATGCATGCATAATAATCTGCACCTAATCTATCCATTTTATTAATATAAATTAATTTTTTTATATTATATTTATCTATTTTATGCCATATATATTCTGTTTGTGTTTCTATGCCATTAACACCATCAATAACAACAACCCCACCATCAATAACACGAATACTTCTTTCTACCTCTATATTAAAATCAACATGTCCAGGTGTATCTATTATATTTATTTTATGTATAGGGAATAATACATCTTTTTCTCCTTTTTCTTCTCCTCTTTCTTCTCCTCCTTCTCCTCCTTTTTTTTCTTCTTTTTTTTCCCTTTTTTTTCCTGTATTTATATACATATTATTATTATTATTATTAATAATATTATTATATTTATATATAGGTAAATAGATATTTTTTTTTTGCCAATAACATAGGGTACTAGCAGCATTAATAGTAATTCCTCTCTCCTTTTCTTGCTGCATATAATCCATTGTTGCTTCCCCTTTATGTACTTCCCCTATCTTATAATTTACTCCTGTATAATATAATATTCTTTCTGTTGTTGTTGTCTTTCCTGCATCTATATGTGCCATTATACCTATATTCCTATAATTATATATAGGTACATTTATATTATCTATAAATGCATATCTTCTTGTTGTACTATTCCTCCTCTTCTTGCTGCTGCTGCTGCTGCTGCTGCTGCTGCTGCTGATTGTGCTGCTGATGGGGAGGGGAGACATATATAATGATGTATTTATTGGGGTAGGGTAACTTCTTCTTATTAAAGAAAAAGGAGATAAAAAAGACAAAGAAGAAGAAATAACAGGAAAAGGACGAGGAGGAGGAGAGGGAGGAGAAGGAGGAGGAGAAGGAGGAGAAAAGGGAGGAGAAGGAGAGGGAGGAGAAGAAGGAGAAGAATAAATAATATAAGAAAAAGATATACATAATTCTTTTATTAAAGAAAAAATAAATATATATTTATATTTATACATTTCCTATATATTTATATTTATATTTATATTTATATTTATATTTATATTTATATTTATATTAATTAATTTATTTATTAATTTATTAATAAAAAGAAGAGAGGGGCCCCCTTAGGGGGGGGGGCCTCTAATCAATAATATATATATACATATCATTACATCATTATTTAGTACCCTTTTTTTCTTTTTTATTCTTTTTCTTCTTTTTTTTATATATATTTATATATATTCTTTTATATTATTTATTCTTCTTTCTTCTTCTTTATTTATATATACATATTTGCATGCATACAATGAATATATATATATACATATATATATAAATACAGTAGGTAGGGAGGAGAGGGGGGGGGAAAAAAGAAGAAAAAAAAAGAAAAAAAAGAAAAATCTTTTTCCTTATTATTAATTAAATAAATAATATATAAAAATAATCAATAAAAAAAAGAATTATATGCATGCATTTATACACATTTATATTGTTTATTAAGATAAATAAGACTGTGGGGGGGCCCCCCTGTGTGGGGGCCCCCCTTACTAATAAGACAGGAGGGAGAGGGAGGGAGGGGGGCCCCCCTACCTCCTTCCCTCCTGTCTTAATTATATTATAAATAAAAGAAAAAAAAGAAAAAATAAATAATTAGATTTATTTTATTCTTTTTTATTGCATGCGTTATTGCTAATAGGACCTTTTCCTGCTGCTGCTGCTGCTGCTGCTGCTGCTGCTGTTGCTGCTGCTGCTGCTGTTTCTGCACGCATTCTTGCACAAAGAAGAGATCTTGTTATAAAAGAACTATTATTATATTCCTCCCTCTATAAATAAATAAATAAATAAATAAATAAATAAATAAATAAATAAATAAATAAATAAATAAATAAA